GAAGGGCTCTCAACGCTCGGACTAATTGGACTTCCTTTCCCCTCAGACCTCCTCTTTCTCCCTTCTCATTTTATGCAAGACGAGGTCGACATCGCTCCTGTGTCCTTCAGGGTTCCGGATGTATGATTTGACAGATATACGAGAGAGCCGGGAAACAAAGCACGATGGTTGCATACATCCTTTGATTTCCGTCTACGACGACTTACCAGCATCACGCATGGGAGCTCAAAATCACACAGCTCGTACAACTGTCTTCACCATCCAACCACCCGTCTTTCATGTGTCAATCAAAACCAATTGCAAACTGGCCTAGTCGATAACGAAACCGATGCTAGAAGAATGAAAACTTCTGCTGAAGCCTTGAATTGGATCTTGCGTAGTCTTGATCGCGTTCAGCAACCGGTAAAACATCGTGAGCAGGTATATGTGAGATATAGGATAAGTGCGTTTCGTCGTTCGTCGTGTTGTGGAAGGTCAACGATTTATGAGAAAGACAGTCTGATTGTTACAGCTTGATCTCGTTTCTATGCTTTAGCCGGTTGCAGTGTGGGAATTGCCGAGGATACAAAATATTGAAACACCGAAAGCCAATTACAAATAATCTACTGATACCAATACAAGCGGGGTTTTAAACGCTAATCAGAGTTTTGAATCTGGGCCCTGTCCCAAAACAAAGGCAACCACTCTTTAGTGCGCCCTCCTCCACCTCTTTTCGTTTCTTCCACCTCCCTAGCCACCATTGTTCTTGGTCTGTCTCTTTGCCCTGGGGGCTATTCCATTCCTTTCTCTTCCTCTCATCTTCTTCGCCGTCGCTGGCAATCTCGTTGACCGACACACTCCTCGCCTGGAGCCGGTACTCTTCGCTCATTAAGTCTAATACCACCAAGGAATTCGTCTTCAAATTTAAAGCACCAGGTTTGCTCCAAGATGCTGGGTTCATCCTCCCGATTCCTTTGCGCTCTATATACTCTCTCGCTCTTCTGGATATCCATTTCTGCCTTGCCTATCCCTTCAAATAACTACTCCACCAAGTCCACGAGAGTCGCAGATGTCCGTTTAGACCAGACAACCACGTTCACTACCGCGAATGTTGTTCAGTCGTGAGTAGTTTTTCTTATTTTCTACGTGCATACTTGACATTCCATTACAGAGATGCGGGTCCCATGATTGTTACTTGCGTTATTTCGTTGACTCCCGTTAAAGGTTCTAAGGGTGAAGATTTGATTGAAGAAACAAAGTCATGCACAGTTCGTTCTGCATCTTCAGGCACCGGTTCTTCAAGTTCCTCTACCTCCTCGTCTGGTTCCAGCAAATCTTCTACCTCTGCGAAGGCGACTGCTACCTCGACGCATAGCAAGGGCTCGACTTCGACTCATAAAACCAAAGGTTCCATGTCGACTTCGACCAGTAGTGCGAGCTCTACTCCGACTTCAGCCGTTAGCAGCGTGAGCGCAACTTCGACTGCTACTGTCACCGTTACAAGCTCTGCCTCGGCTTCAGCCGTTAGCAGCACAAGCTCCATCTCGGCTTCAATGGATAGTAGCTCAAGCTCTGCCTCAGCTTCCTCGACGGATTCTGCAGTTGCTACCTCAGCAGCTGCATCGTCGTCGACTGATAGTGCTTCTGCCACCAGCACCGCTGGTGCTTCCTCTGTCACTGCAGCTGCAGCTTCGGACTCGGCAAGCGCTTCGGCCTCTGGTATGTCATTTTGTTGCATCGCCTTATAGATGGTAAATAACACTGCAATACAGTTTCTTCAACTAGCTCTGTTTCAGCTACTGCTTCAGGTGCAATTGCAGTGAATGTGAGTAAAGTCACCATCTCATATACTCTGATGTTCCTTCCATATGGACAGAATGAACACACTGGATGAGCTTGAGGTGTCGAAGCGCGATACTGGACGTTGATCTGATTCTTTTTTTTGACAGGGTTTCTCATCCGTATCTGGGAGCGCTGCATCAACGGCTACTGCTGTTGCTGCATCAACTAGCGCGTCAGCCTCATCGGCTGCTGCTACATCGTCAGCTACCTCTGCTGCTGCCGCAGGTGCTATCGTTGCGAATGTAAGTGGTTATGGATATCTGACAATGTCAAATGTTAATTGCTTTGCCAATCTCAGGGATTCTCATCAGTTGCTGCTTCGGCTGTGTCAACAGAATCTGTTGCTGCCACTGCTTCCCCTACAACAAGTGCTGCAACTGCAGTAGGCGCAACGGCAACATCAGCCACTGCTGCTGCTGATAATGGTCAATCAGCTTCAGCGTCGGGTACCCCCGCCAATGGTGCTGCTGCTTCTGGAACTGCTGCCACTGCTACTGGTACATCCGCAGCAGATTCTGCAGCTTCAAGTGCACCCGCTTTCCAGATTCCGGGCAAAACTCTTTCAGTTTTGCCAATTGGTTTGGGAGTCTTTGCTGGTATCTCAGTGATTGCATTGATTGTCGTTGGCTTGGTTACCTACGAAAGGACGAAGTATCGCAAGGTCTGGCCTCGGTCTTTTCTAACACGATTTTCGATCTTTTTTACTCATTTCATCTTTTTATTTTCTTTAGGCATTCCGCCAACGCAAACTCGCAGAGGAAGGGGCAAGCATAGGCTACGGTGGTATGAGGTTAGTACAAAGCTTTTCCGACTGTTCGCTCTTCCGCAGCACCCGACTAATTCGTTGCAAATAAAATTTTACAGACAAGCTGTCTAGGCTTGATGTTTTAAATGCACATTCTTCGACAAAACGAAGCTGGAAGTGTATCCAACGGCGGCGAACCAATAGAAGATGTTATACATCTCATCCGCAGAATCCCCATTTCATCCCTCCCCACGCATTCAGACATACCGTATCTCATCCTCAGTATCTTTATCCCCTTTTTCGATTCTTCCACTATCCCTTTCTGCTTTATCTTTGGTCACGCTCTATTGTTGGTCTGGTTGTACTTGTAATACATTCGTCGCTTTACAACATGTTATTCGTGTTCACTTGTCGGATGCGAATGCCTTGCTCTTCGCATCTTCAGCCGGGTATTCTGAAGTGTTTTCTAAGGACATTTTAACTACCTTACTTGCATTTCGATATCTTTGAACAACCCGGACTTGATTTGCTTTTCGTTCATTTTCAGCGATCTTTTAAAGATCCTTGGAGTGTTTCGCTCGCCTTTGTATATAACGTTTGTTCGTGCAATTCAAGCTTTGACCTAGAGCGTCATCGAACTCAAGCCATCGACCGTACTCGACCTGTAGCAAGAAAGGTAAACAAAGCCTTGTTTCTCATTGACTGCGATTTCAAACAACTTGAACTGGGTTGCTGAATACCTCATTAACCAAGAGATCAATGCCTCCTCTTACCAAACTTGTTGATAAACTCACAATCACCTTTTTGGTGGATAACAATATCGAGTGGTATGTATATACACAAGCTCTCTTGACAATGTTCAGAATCTAGATATCCATCGAAACTACTTTCTGAGATCCTTCTCTGAATCTTTCATTCAGGTTTACACAACTCCCTCCTGGATTCACTCATGAAGTTAAACAACATCTAACGGAGCATGATCCTCCTCTCGATCCCGTTACAGGAGCACCTTTGCTCGATTTTGAGAATTACTGTTGTGGTACGTTTATCGGAGACGTGCTATAGCATTAGTATCATGGAGATGCTAAGCTGACTATGCCTTTTGATACAGGTGCTCATGGGTTTTCTGCTTTAATCGTGAGTTTGACTGAGATGCCAACCAAGACCAGTTTCATGCATCACTGGAGAAATCCTTTGGCATATTGTCATTCAATACAACTTGGATATGCATCCCCAGTGCAATTCTATAGTACAATATTCTATACATACTGATCAAAGGTTATAGGAAACACAAGTAGATGGGAACGGAGAATCCCATCTCACTCTTTTTGACACAGGTCCTGAATCTCGTTCAATTGCTCGAAATGTAGCATCAATGGAAGTACCACTTGAACGAGTCGAACGTATCATTCTATCGCACTGGCATTCGGACCATAGTGGTGGAATATTATCCTTTCTAGGTCTTCGTCGAGATTGCATCAAAGATATTTCCGAATCAACAACCATTCCAACTGAAGAGTTTACATATGCGCCTTGTGTGGTGGATTTACATCCTGATAGACCTATCGCAAGAGGGATTGCTCCTAATGGGAAGTTGATTGGACAGTTGAATCCGGATCCAACTTTTGAAGAGATCAAAGCGTTGGGAGGTGTTGTTGAGACACACAAGGAAGGACATGCGGTCGCTGATGGTGCTATTTGGGTTAGTGGAGAGATACCTAGAGTTACGGAGTATGAGCAAGGCCTTTTGGGAGCTGTCAGGTTTGTGAACAAGGAATGGGTACCTGAAGAGGTTAGTCGTCTCTTGAATTTTACCGACCAGTTTGTGAAGACATTAAGATGAATTTCTAGCATATCATGGATGAACGATACGCAGCGATAGATGTCGCTGGGAAAGGGCTTGTTATATTCTCTGCGTAAGATCCATTTTGTTTAGATTCCAACTTCCAGTGACTCGTGTCCCGTCTGCAGGTGCTCTCATGCAGGTATTGTAAATGTCGTCAAAGATGCCGTCAATAAATTCAAACGACCTGTCCATATGGTTTGTCGTCCTTCTCAATTGACGTATACAATTCTACATGATAAAACCTACGTTCTCTTAACAGGTCATCGGTGGTTTACATCTCGCAACACCAGACCTTACGGACAGAATTGCCCCGACGGTTGATTTTTTGGCCAATAAATTAAGACCAGCACCAACGTATATACTCCCGATGCATTGTTCTGGGTTCAAAGCAAAGGTAGCCCTTGAGCATGCACTTGGAGAGGGATGTGTACCCGCCGGTACAGGGATTCGGGTCGAGGTATCAGGTGATTGGAAAGCTGAAAAGATTCTTTTTCCACCCACCATTGGTGTCTGAGATTTGTGTGGTAGAAGCCTGTAACATTAGTATATCCGTTAAGTGTGTTACGACCAAAAATGTAATCTTTGTTGAGGCGCTACCAGGGCTCGAACCTGGGTTTTGGGAACAAGTCAGTCATAGAAGGGCGTCTGTCAGAATCCCAAGTGATAACCACTACACTATAGCGCCGATGTGAGCATATTACACATGTATTATATGAAGGGATGTGCTTAATAATTGCGCACAGCAGATCAGAAATACATATTCACAATAATTTAGAGCTATCCTGTATAGGTTCTGGTTGTACCTGACGAATTGAGTCTTTCAATGCTCTCCACGAAGGCCTCGATAAGTTGAACCCTTCACCAAGCCTAGCAAACGTGCTACCACCCAATCGAGCGACAGGTCTTAGTTTACCAGGGTCGACTGTTCGTTGATCTTCAGTCAGAACTGCATTGCGTGCATGAATTTGTTTGATGAGACCTAGGATTAGAGTAGTGGTAGGGTTGGTTGCACCCGGAGGAGTGATATCTTTCAATTCATATAGCTATAAGCAAAACCACCGTCAGTCAGTTACGGACTTTAAGATTTAGAAGGTTTCGCAATCCAAGTACCTCGCATTCCATACTGAATGCACTCTCTTTGACACAAGGCGCTTTGACATGATGCTACAGAAAGATAGAGGTCAAATGTGAGACTCGTAGCACCGAAAAACACGGTTACTTACACTCTGTAATGGAGTCAAACCACTGACAATCCATTCATCCACATCGCTAGGCGCTTCAATCGCACAAGCATTGGCTGCTTCAATGAAAGGCTCGCTGATGATATTCACAGTGAATTCCTTTGTGGCCTGGATATTTTCCCGAGTGTCTTTTGGTTTCCTAGGACTCAACAATAAAGAAATACTGAGCAAAGGCGGCTCATCGGCAACCTTAAAATAATCAGAATATCATCAGTGTCTTTTCTCATCGCTGCCTAGAAAACACCTACAAGTGAGAAATAGCTACCGAGAATACTTCAGTGACAGATTGATAAGTGAAACTCAACAAGTCAAACATACCTCATAGGTGCCAGATTCGGAACACCATCTTCCGAGAGCGTAGAGACGTACGCAATGGGTCGAGGTGTAACGGCACTTGTTAACAGCTTATATATATCTCTATCCCTTCAAATTAGAAACATACGGTAAGAAATAACTAAACAGAGGAATTACCTTGGTTTATGTTCCTCCGTTATCCAAGTCTTCCAACCTTTATGTTCATCCTCTTTCCATATTCTACCGAGCTCATTATCAACCAATAATCCATCACCTAATTTCCAAGAAGGATTCGGTGGTTGTGTGATTCTGAACGATCCAGAGGTATTAAATGGAGGTGGTTGTGGATCCGTGTTTGTCGAATTAGTAAAGTTGGAAGTATGTGGGGTGACAACATCATCAGGTTTAGAAGTATTGATGGACTGTCGTGAGCATGATTGAGAGAATCCACGTCGGGCAGTTCCGTACCCTAACCTGAAGGGATTGTAATGAAAGGGTCGAAGTTTTAATGAAGACACAGACCGTAACATGATGAGAGTGACATCAACTCCAATTTGCCGCTCATGAATGCATGCATTTCAGCTGTTGACCTTCCCACCTTGACGCTTCTCACATTACATTTTTACATCATATGTATTGCAAGAGAGTTAGACACTCTCCGATGATACTACAACTCCAGAGACCACAAGGAAAATAATTAAGAGTACGAGAGGAGACTAGGAGGTGAGAGACTGTGTGGTTGTGTGGGCGCAAGTGGGTGTGTGATATCTGAATGGAGATGAAAAAAAAGCATTATAAAGGAGTGCTGTGCCGATAACCTAACTAAACTAAATAAGCAGATATTAAATGAGCAGACTGTGAAAACATGAGAGAGAGAAACAACTGGAAGAATGATAATGGAGGTGAGAGAATACAGAGCAAGGATACGATACGTGTGGATGGATAGCGACCAGAAGAAAAGATGCATCGACAAGTAGAGCTAGATAATGAGATATGTCAGATCCTTGAACATTGTTCTAGAAATATACTCACAGAGGATAAGGTGAGGACTAAACGGTCCTTTAAATTAATGCTATGAAGCGATTCCGTGAGGAGAATGAATAGTCTCTTGTTGGTCAGAATTCGCTACTTGGAGGTAAGCCAAAACAGCGGCTATAGCTCCGTTCTGGCGACAAGTTATTGTCAACTCATGTCCACTCCACAACCGATCGGCATATCGAGATAATGAAGCACCAACACCACTGTTGCTTTCATAACCACTCGTATCCGGATCAAGATCTTCTGTACCAAAGTCAGGTTCAGATTTCCCTGCTCCATAACGGTGATATATCTGACTTCGAGACTTCGATCGATAATGGGAAATTACGCCATCCAGTTTGCTACGTCTTGATGGTATGCCGTTCGATGACCGAGGAGGAGATCCTGTCAAGCGAGCGAAAGCCTGATCCACAGGATGATTATCCTCTGAATCGGGTGTTATCAACGTCTGTTGTAAGACTTTGAAAGCGATATCATTCGCTGCTTGGTACGCCTTGACATACGGATCCGACTGTAGCATCGCAATGGTAGGACTACACGTAGTCACAACATCGATCTGCCTCTTCATCGAAATAACCCATTGGTGTCGAACGATAGCATCATTGACACTGAACATATACTTCCTCTTGATGCCTTCATGGTTTGGGAAGGCGACTTGGAAGGTGTGCCGCATGAATGCTCGTTCGACTACAACGGAACTGCTGAGTGGTAATCCGCAATACGCAAGTGCATTAGGACCAGATCGCCACATGATGATAGATTTGGGACCAAGAGAGGTACCAGTGATACGGAACGAGGCTTCAGATGATTTCGCAAAGTTAAGGACGGGTGGATCGAAAATGAGGTCTTGGCCAAACAGCTGAATGGTCAATTGAGGGTCAGGTTGAGGGATACGAAGAACGATTGGTTCGGACTGGACACGGTATGTCAGTCTGGCGGGTATCGGCCGCTTGACTACGATGGTGACATCTGGCATGCCGGTTTGAGTCGATGGATTCCTCGCTTGGAATAACTTTTCTCGACGAACAGAAGCGTATATCTTCTCGAGCAATTCGTCTGGAACAAGTTTCTGGAAATCTATCCTTTTGAATGCATCAACGAAGTCCTTATTCAGAACGTTTCGTTTAGGATAGCCAGTAATTCCAGGGGACTGTGCAATTCCTCCATGCATCACATCATTGAGGTGAACGATAGCTCGAACCAGCCTACCCGCAAGGTCTCTATCATACGCGACGAAACCTGCGTTCGCCTCATACCATCGACCGGCAAAGGAGTCGAGTAGATATTCGAGCGAATTCGGGGTTGGAGGTATAGAGACGGATAAAAGGAAAACCCTAAGCGCCTTGTCAATCCTTAACCCCGCGAATCCAAATTCGTCGACGTATGACTTCAAGACCAATTTGGAAGTACGACGAGCGAGGTATTCACCAAGTTTGGCACGGTCAATGTCGGTTGCCTTGAACATCAACTGTCCAAGTGCGACAGGATCATCTCGGCAGTGCGATTTTTCGAAAAGAACTGTGATAGCGTGATCTGGATCCTTTGCAAAGTTATGTAGGAAACTTCGTATAACGGGATGCCGCATAGGATTAGACGAGTCGGTGGATTTGGTACGAGATTCATCTCGGTCGCCAGAGACCTTCATATCCTTCAGAGGCACGACACTTTTCACGATATACTTGCGATCCGATGGGTCTATCTTCGCGTTTTCCAACAAGGCCTCGTGATCCTGGACAACTGGTTTCGCGACAACGAGCATGTCATTGAACAATAACAGGAATCGATCCTTCACGGTGTTGGCATTAGAGACCTGGAGGACCGGCGAGGAAAGCAATACTTTCCGCGGAGGATCATCGATTGCTGTTGGCCATAGCGAACTCTTAGATCCGCGTCCAAGAATTTCTTCCAGTCGCTCCATCACTAAACCAATCTTGGAAGGTGCATTGTTAGAGGGATGAGGATCTGGAGAATCCCGAGATGATGCAGCAGAGTAGGATTCAGAAGTGGATCGGGTAGGAAAGTCGTCTAAAGATGATTGGGGATCGGGTGTCGTTGACGATGGAGGGTCAGGTGGAGAAGGGAAACCAGAGAAGTCGGAAGAGCTCATAGTACCACCCAGTTGAAGGTGAGGGATCCCGTTTTGCCGTGGTAATCCATCGACAACATGATTGGAATGTTCGGCGTCATGCTTCACACGATCAGAAGCATCAGCTCGGATAGTATTCGCTTGTTGTTGCTGCTGGTGCTGTTGTTGCTCTTTAAGGTCCTCCTTGAATATGAACTTGCCCGTGGGATGTGCATTGGAAGTAGCCGTCGGAGTACGTGATTTATCACTCCCGACATCCTCCCAATCAGCGGACAAATCCATGTCTTTCCGACCCAACAATAGATCGGACAATGAGGGTTTCTTGGCAATTGGTCGTGGTTGTGGAAGAGAAATCTGTGGAGCAGTTGGAGTTGGTGTCGTGGGAGTGGAGGGTGAAAAGAGTTTCTTCCATCGTCTGGTAGGCAATTTAATCGTATTCGAAGCGCTTGTTGGTGGCGTTGGGGTCGTGTTCAAGGGTTTGAGGTCAAAATATCCACCATTCTGCGATGTTGTTGAGGGAGCCGCGGACATAGGAGCAGGAGACATGGAACTGTTATACTTTTCCAATAACAGGGTGTCTGACATCTGATGAGACAACTTTCGTGCTCTTGCAGTGTCTGGTGAACGGGTTGTTGCGCTTGACGATGAACCAGAGCTATGGGAAACTTCCATGCCCGCAGCGCCATGACCGTTCGCTTGAAGAACTATGTCAGGTGATGACGTCGACGCCAATTTAGCTCGATTCCGTTGCATTTGCTCTTCAAGTTGCCTCATTCCAGGGAATGGGAATAACTTGGAATCAGCATATTTCAACAGATCAGCGGAACTAGCGGGCGGAATGGGGGATATACCACCAGCACTGACAGGAGGGATAGCAAGAGACGAAATCGATGCAGATGCAGAGGGGGATTGCATGAGCGGTGTTGGAGGTTGCGGAGGAGCAGGAAAAGCCGCAAAGGTATCAGTTCGTTCCATTTTAGGACTTGTGATACTTGCACCACTTTCCCGACTGATACTTGAATCTGT